CCCCCTGCCGTGGGCAGGGACCCCCCCAGGTACCTCAGTGAAACCCGTCGGGTTCGTGTGGTGCTGCGGCTGGAGGAGTTTTTGCCTCCCCCCGTGCCCTGTCGCTGTTGTGTGTCACCCTCCAGCGTAAAGATGCGCCGCCTTCCCTCAGCACTGCTGCTGGCTGGTGCTTAACTGCACTGTTTGCCTTTTCAGACTCTTATGTGCATAAACCCGCCCCTTTTTGAGGTGTATCAGACGCTGTTAAGCCCCACGCAGCATCATGTGGCGCTCATCGGTATGAAGGGGCTCATGGTGCTGGAGCTGCCTAAACGCTGGGGGAAGAACTTGGAGTTTGAAGGTGGGAAATCCACGGTGAACTGTAGGTGGGTGAGACCGCAGGCGGTTAATGACATCCTTGTCCTCCCCGCGTTCCTCAGCCTCTTCCTCTCCTGGGGCCACACAGATAGGGAAGATGTTGGGTGGACAATCGCAGATGACGTTATTTTGGCTCAGGGAATTGCTGATGGTCAAGTGACTCAAATAAATGACCTTCTAAACTTACTGCAGATGCTGACCTCTCTGGTATTCTCTAGCCTTCCTGGGGTCTTTTAGCTGTGGTAGCTGAAATCACATGTCCTGCTGGACGTTACAAAGGGCTTCAAGTTAAAGCCGCCCCTCCAGCTTTAACACAGCTGGTGGCTTTGAAACCGTCTGACTTGGTGTCTAGCCCCTCCTGCCCTACCTCCCTTCAGAAGCAACTTATTCTGTGTTTCTTGTAACTGCGTCTCTCTGCTCTGTGTTTCAGCACTGTTCCTATTGCGGAAAGGTTCTTCAGCAGTTCAACATCTCTGACTTTAAAACATGCTGCCTGGTACCCCTGGGAGACGTTGGAGCCCCATGTTGTGCTCTTGACTTCAGATAACACTATAAGGTAAAACCTGTCTGTCGCTGATTATCTAAGGTGTTTTTTTTGTCAGGCCCAGTCTGATATTTCACTAGATATTTGTGTCCTGCCGTTCTTATCAGGATCACCAGTAAGAAATAGGATGGGAGAAATTTTAGGCTGATACCAGCTGGTGCTCCTGCGTCAGCAGGGACATGTGCAACACTGCCAGCTGAATGAACACTGCTGCTGTTTCTCTCCTCTAGGATTTACAGTCTGAAGGTACCTCAGACACCCGTCAGAGTGATTGCCCTTTCAGACACCAAGGAGGAGACTCTTACAATCAAAAAAGGGTATGTGTGTCTTCTCGTATTTTGAAATGCTTTTAACAGAGTGAGCTCTGTATTCCCCGTTGTGTTTTTAATGAATAAGTGATAATCTGTGTGGAAGTCTGACACGATTTTTTCCATGGACTTCTTCAGTGCTAGGACTTCTTCCGAGCACAGTAACTGCACTTTTTGTTTTCTTTTTTTTCCCATCCTTCTAAAAGAAAGTGGCAACAAACTGTAGAGTCAGGTGTTTGCCAGAGTACCCGTGTGAAAAATACAGCTTGTCTTTAAGATGGGGTTAAGAGGGGCTTTTTGAGGGAGGAAGGCAGAATATAGATCATCTATTTCCCTTTTGGCCTAGTTGGAAAGGCAAAACTTGAGGGTCTCTACTAGTCAAGTCACAGACTGAAGTACTGCACAGGAAATACCAGTACGCCCTCCTCTCTTGCCCTGTGAAACTGGGCTGGCAGAGGTGAGGTTCCACGAGCAGGCCGTTCCTTGCGTGCTGGTGCTGCTGAAAAGAGCGTGTGTCAGAGGACTGCGGGGCAGGCGTTTAGCAGTCGTTAGCACGCGCCGGTGGGCCTCGTTAAACACGGGCGTTCTCAGAGTCACTGCTGACCTCCGATCCCCTTCTGACTCGTCCCCAGGAGAGCCTACACAGCATCGCTGGGAGAGACTGCGGTGGCGTTTGACTTCGGCCTGCTAATGCCGGTCCCAGAGAACATCGCCGGACAGCGAGGGAGTGAAGAAGTGTTGGCCTATCCGCTTTACATTTTATATGAAAATGGAGAGATGTTCCTCACGTACATCAGCCTGCTGCAGAGGTGGGCGGGCACTCACCCTCGGGTTTCCTGGGGCACCTGCCGGTGTCTACAGCGTTGGGGTTGGAGAGCCATCTCTGCTGGGCTGGGACTCTCTAATGGGGGCTGGTCTGAGTTTTGTTGTATTGCAGGCTGTTTTATCCCTTTGTGGCAGTGCTAACAGACTGAAGTCCAAGAATAGTGTGTCATCCTTCCTCATCCAGAGGTTAAGGGTGCAGTTTCCACTGCTGAGGATCCACTGTCCATTGTTTACAATCAGAAATTTGGAATGAAGACACAGGACTGTTAAAAGACCCTAAGGCTGTTAGGTGTATTTTGGGGCCTTCAGTTCACGGTGTAGACATTCTTAGCTTTGGATGAGGCTGAAAGAGCCAGTGGCATCGTAGGAGAGGGTTTGCAGGCACGGTCCGTAACGAAAGCTGAAGAGCATGAATCACGAATAGAAACATGATACAAGCAAAAATTACCTCAGAAAACTGAGAAGATGGTGGAAAACTCACAAGTTAGATCTGGTGTGACCGAATGGGTGGTATTTAGGTTAGAAACAGCACTGTCTGCATGAGGAATGACGGACCACTGAGCAGGTCCGGTCTGTAGGCAGTGAAATAGGCTTAGCTCAAAAGTTCTACCCAGAGTAATGCCAGGACACAAAACGCTGCTTGTGAAGTGCTTTGTTAAGCAAGAAAATCATTAAGTGATAATGAACTTGAGCTTTCCATGTGTTCTTGTGTGAAAATGTTTCCTCTTGAATTGCTGAAAGGTAGCGTGGATGCTTTGAAGCGTCAAACATTATCAGTGAGCTCCAGTTCCTTCTCCTGAGATCTCCACCAAGTGGGTGTAGAGCAGAAGTCTGGGGTGCTGCTGTCTGACAGCAATTAAACAGCACACCAGAACATTGGGGGAATTTTTTTCCTTGATCATCCTTATGTTGTAGTTACTGTCCAACAAACTCCCACGGGCACTCTCCTGCTGCACCTTGTGTTGTGAACACATCTTCTTTATTCCAGCACTGGAAGTCTCGGGAAGCTGCTTGGCCCTCTGCCCATGCACCCTGCTGCAGAAGACAACTATGGCTATGACGCCTGTGCTGTCCTTTGCCTGCCTTGTGTTCCAAACATCCTGGTGATTGCCACCGAGTCGGGAATGCTCTATCACTGCGTGGTACTGGATGGAGAAGAGGATGATGAGCCGGTAACTCTTGTTTATTTTATCTATACACATTTTTGTTTCTTTAGTCCAGGTTCCTGGCTGCAAGATGGCAGGATGCCTGGAGTGAGTGCCAAGTGCCAAAGCTGCATTTTATAATGAGTCTTCATCCTCTTCCAGCCAGTCTCTGGGGGGGCCTGCAAGGAAGCTGGGGGGGACTTTTTACAAGCTCCTGTAGTGACAGGACAAGGGGTAATGGGTTTAAATTGAAAGTGGGGAGGTTTAGATTGGATATCAGGAAGAAATTCTTCCCGGAGAGGGTGGGGAGGCACTAGGACAGGTTGCCCAGAGAAGCTGTGGATGCTCCATCCCTGGAAGTGTCCAAGGCCAGGCTGGATGAGGCTTGGAGCAACCTGGTCTAGTGGAAGGTGTCCCTGCCCATGGCAGGGGGTTGGAACTGGATGATCTTTAAGGTCCCTTCCAGCCCAAACCAGTCTGTGATGATTCTCTGGTGATTTTAAGTGTCAGTTCTGTGTATCCTGAGGGCAGATCAGTGTTTGATCAAACCTATTATGAACTGTTTGTAGAGGATCTTCTTAGAAGAAACCCTGTTTCTGAGATTAATTTTTTGAGTAATCAAGGGACTTGAACTACTTTCCCTGACAACTGATACTCTTGCCTATACTATGTAACTCCTTCTTGATGTTGTTTATGTTGGCGTTTCTATTTAAATGACGTCTCACAAAAGAATTCAATGCTCTTTACAGTCAGAAAAGTCATGGGACCCAAGATCTGATCTTATTCCTTCCCTGTATGTGTTCGAGTGTGTTGAGCTGGAGCTTGCACTGAAACTGGCATCAGACGAAGAAGATCCTTTAGAGTCTGATTTCTCTTGCCCAATCAAGCTGCATCGAGGTAGGGCTGTCATTCAGGTCGTTGGCTTTTACTTGCTGTGTTTCATGCATTTAGGATCAAGCTATTCACACATCACCATTGGTGTCAAACAGTGGTGTTAAACTAAGGATTCGCCTGATGCCTGCAATAAAGCTGTGGGAAGAGCAAGCCTGGGAGGTGGCTCAGTGTTTGCTCGAGGGCCGGTTACATACGGTCACGTAATACTGAGATCTTTCAGCTGCAGACTGTGAAGTAAAGTTGTTGCACGTGTCATGACCTGTGTATGTGAGCAAGCGCTCTGGTGATGGTGACCTGCAGGAAGATGTGGCATCTGTTCATTAGACGAGTGTTCGGGTCTTGCTGAACGAGCAGCCTGTCAGAATGCTGGTCTGCTGGCTTTAACTCATCCTGCCTTTGACATCTAGTGGGTTGGTACAGATGTGGTGCGAGAGGAGTAGTTGAAATCAATTCATCAGGTATTTCAGGTAACGGATGCAAAACACTGAAACCATGGCTAACGCATCTATCTCGATTTTTGGGTGAGGAGGAATTAGTACTTGCAACAGGATGTTTAATGCTGACTGGACACTAAGCTGATAGACATGTTGGAAGATGCAGGTTTGAGGGATGAGTTTTTCTGAGTTCAGTGCCTTCTCCTACATTTGCTGTTTAAATTTCAGATCCAAAATGCCCCTCGCGGTACCACTGCACACACGAAGCTGGTGTCCATAGCGTGGGGTTGACGTGGATCAATAAACTGCACAAATTCCTCGGCTCAGGTGAGTTGCGGGGCTGTGGCGCGTAGAGGGAAGAGAGCACTATCCCACACAGACACCTCGCTCGGCACAAGTTGGGGGGTGCAGTAATACCGAGAATCCCTCACCCTGCCGAGCGGACCTGATGCATTCTGACAAATCTCGTTGTAGATGAAGAAGACAAAGACAGTTTACAAGAGCTGGGAGCGGAACAGAAGTGCTTTGTTGAACATATTCTTTGTACAAAACCGTTGCCATGCAGGTAAAAACCAAACCCTTTCTATTGTTTCCAAATCAGTGAGCTGCTATGGAAAACCTTTATGATTTGCCCTCTTTAGCTGCATTCTTGCCTTTAAGAATAACAAAGGTAACGCGAACAAATTCAGACAGTACAGATAAGGCGTTTGTGTATCACGATTCTTAACGCACAGCTGGGGAAGCAAGCTTAAACTCTGGTGCTGCTGCCTGAAAGTCATCTGTCAGACCAGCAGGAAGTTTCACTTCCGTTTATGTGACCCCAGACACGCAGAGCCTTGATTTGGCCAGGAGTTTCGAACACTTGACATGTTGCCTTTATCCACTTGTTAAGGATCCAACAATGCCTTGAAAGAACATCTGATTGTTTTGAGCTTGCTCAGGCTTAAGAGGCATCATTTGCTGGGCTGTGGAACCTCTCTTTTATCTGCTTATTTTCTCACCTTTATAAGATGCAGTCGCACCTGCAGACTGCTGTGTATTAAAACACTGTGAAAATTCCGGAAAGGTGTTTTATTAATCGGTGGTGCTGTCCGGTCTAAAGACGGGCTCGGTGAGTCGGCACAGACGCGACTCCCGCGGCGCTGGTGGTTGGCTGGGGCGAGGGCAGGGGGCAGTGGAATGCAGAATGCCTGTGTGCTCTTGCCTGAGGAAGTCTGTGCCGTGCACTGCAAGTGGGTAACACGGCCGGGGTCCCAGCAGGATTTGGTTCTGTTCCTTTTGCAGGACTCACTGGGGGAGCGGTTCGTAGCTTAGTGAAGGGCGCCCGGCTCAGGCCGATGGCTAGAGCTTTCCCAGGAGTGTAAACCGCACCACGGCGGGAACAAAGAACTACATTGTTGTGTTTTCTTCCCTTCAGGCAACCTGCTCCAATTAGAGGATTCTGGATCGTTTCTGACATCCTGGGGTCCACGATGATCTGCATCACAAACAACTATGAGTGTATTACGCGGCCTCTCCTGTACGTGGTCCCTATCCGGTTTGAATTCCGCGACTCTTGCATGACAGGATATAATGGGGTTTTATTCTTCTTTTGATCCTTTCACCCTAGACTTCTGCACCTCTTATGAACACAGTGAAATTGGCCTCCTGAACGCGCCCTGGCTGAGCACACAAGTATTGTCATAATGCTTATTTACTACTGACAGGGCATTTGTAGGGGATATAATTGATCTGCATCGCTCCTAAGGAGTACTAGGATGAGTTGCATCAAACAGTTCTTGACAGTATTCCTGGGGTGGTTTCTTCATTTTTATTATGAGGAATCTGCAAATCAAACACTTGTTTGCAGACTGTAGCACTGAGAGGCCTCATGGGCACCAAGGTTATGTTTGCATGAAAGGGAACAGAAAAACATAGGTTCTTGCAGTGCTGTAAACTGGGATTTTAGGGTGGATTGCCAAAGCAACTTCACTTTGAGGGTGCCAAGACCAACACAGACTCATTAGTAGAGCTGCATCTGCACAGTGAACACCAGGGGGATGGCACTATTTTCAGTTAATTTACTGCCGAAAACGTTTAACGTGCGACAGGTACCTTCAGCAGAACCAGCATTAATGCCAGGGTCTCCTACAGACCTTTTACTGCTGTTCTTTGAGATTATTTCTGCAGTGGTCTTAGGCAGGTTTTTCTTACAACCCCAGTACCTGCCATCATGTAGGTGGACAGTGCCCTAGCAGGCTGCTTCGCAAAGCGGGTCCTTCTGCTGTCCCAGCGCTGCTTGCTGGTGACTTTCTTCCCCTTGCTAGCTTCAGCTGTGGCCAGGCAGACAGCTGCGGGGCTGCGAGCTCCTCCAGCCTTGTCTGGAGCTGGATTCACCACCTAACTGAAATATTTCCGCTTGGAACACTTCCGACTTACTGCTGTAATACACCCGTTCCACAGCGGATGAGTTCCTCACTCTACCGACCTCTTAAACTCAGAGAGAGTTTCAATTTTTCTGCTTTAAACTGTGTTTTCCCTGTGGTGTTCTGTGGTAGGAGTACGGTCCATCCCGCATCCCCTCCCCTGCTGTGTACCAGAGAAGACAAAGATGTGGCTGTTTCCCCGCTCCGTATCCTGGCTGAGTCACAGCATTCCTTTGAGAAGCATATCCAGAGCATCCTCCAGCGCAGTTCTGCCAATCCCTTGCTTCTGAAGTAAGTAAAGATGTTTTCCCAGGGGACCAGAAGCAGGATTACTCAGGAATCCCCTGTTTATCAGCTCCTGCCTGAGCAGCACGTTAGTTTGATGGCAGTAATGGGGACACAGCTTCTGCTGCCCACTTGTGCCTCATTCTGTACAGGGATGGCATCAAATCAAGTGGGAGTGGGATCATCTTGCTCCAGTCCCCTGCTCCAGGCAGGGCTGACTTCCACCCCTGAGGTTGCTCATCGCTTGACCTGTCAGGTGTTGAGTAGCTTAATGCACCTTGGGATTTCTTCATGTTAGAAAAGTGATGCATAGTGAAGGGATTTCATTACAGTCCCTCACGTCCGTAACTGGGCCCCCAGAGCCCTTACCATAAACGCTGCGAGTGCTTTAGCCTTTCAGGGGAACACGTTGCAGCAGGACTGCAAACCCCTGTCTCTCGTATTCTGAAGGTCTGCTGATAAAGATGCTGCTTCTCCCCCTGAAGAATGCCTGCAGCTTCTCAGCAGAGCCACGCAAGTGTTCAGAGAAGAATATATACTGAAACAAGATCTGGCAAAGGAGGAAATTCAGCAGAGGTAAGAAAAAAACCACCTTCTAACTAACGAGGGTACAGTGGCACTGAAGCAACGTCTCTAAGTACCAAGCACTCCACCTCCTCCGCCAGACGAACCCCGTCAAGGGGTAGAAGGTATTCTGTCACGCTTTGCCATTACGGGTGGTTTGACTTTCTGTATCTGTTTAAGAGTGAAGCTGCTGTGGGGACAAAAAAAGAAACAGCTGGAAGATCTGAATTACTGTCAGGAGGAAAGGTGAGTTTATCCATCTGTTTATCAACTCGAATGTCAGGAATGGCGGACCTTTGCGCAACACGGACTTTGCAGGGTCCTGCGCGAGACGGGGGCACTGAACGCGGTGCCAGCTGTCGCTACGCACGGAGGGGCACACCCTGCTCTGGGTTGCTTTTTCGGGCTCCTTGTCCTGTTTTCCTGTACTTGTAAATCCAAAGTAAATAAACCTCTTTTTGCCTGAAGGAAGAGTTTGCGGGAGATGGCTGAGCGCTTGGCTGACAAGTACGAGGAAGCCAAAGAGAAGCAGGAAGATATCATGAACAGGTGAGTGCAGTGTGCCCTGTCTCACCTCCCGTCACTTGCTGTCGTACAGAGCGTTGCACGCTCAACCTCCTGTCGCTTGCTGTCGTACAGAGCGTGCGGCCTCGGGGGGGGGGGGGGGCAGGAAGTGCCACCCCACTTTGTTAGAAGACTGGGCGCCTGAAATTCTCTTTATTGGAGCTCGGGGATTTTCAGTACTAAGGCAGCTCACGGTTCAGAAATGCCCTGTGAGTAACTGCAAGAGGGGAGTAAAGTCTCCAGCCCCAAGACTTGGGAGGAGCGACAGAAGTGAGACCGTGGGTGCCTTGGCGGCGCTGGTCTGACAGGTAAGTTGCTTCAGCAACGTCTTGCCTTGTACACGAAGGATGAAGAAGGTACTTCGGAGCTTCCACTCTCAGCTTCCTGTTCTGTCAGACAGTGAAAAAGATATGAAGAAGGAACTGCAGACGATACACGACCAGCTGCAGCACCTGAGCAATGCAATCAGACAGGTGAGACCGCGCACGGCCGGGCTGGGAGGTGAGTGACCCCACCGCGCTCGTGCCTCGTGATGGAACACGGTTATTCCAGCAGAGCAACTTCCTACCTCCACTAAATCTGCGGCAGCATTCTAAACTTCTCGTTCTTGCTAGCAGCAGAGACAGCACCTCTGCAACCCAGCACAAACACCTTCCTCAGTCTTGGCGCTCACTTTCTCTTTGTTGTGGGACGGAAGATTCTGACTCAGAATCGACTTACTGCAGTGTGACAGCCCAGGCTGTAACTCCAAGCGGTGCTCGCTTGGGCAGGGAGTACCCGCACTGACGGGGGTGTCTCTGTCTGTCACCCGTAGGTTAAAATGAAGAAGGAATACCAGCAGAAGATGATGGAGAAGGGGAGCAGCCCCCGCAAAACCAGCATCGCCCTCAGTGCCTACCAGAGCAAGTGCATCCAAACCGTCCTGAAGGAAGAGTAAGTTAACACTTGGCTCCCCCTGTAGGAATTAATCCCACCCTGGCACTCCCCCAACCAGCTCTCTGGTTTAGGGTGTAATTTCAGCTCGGTGGTAGGAGGGGCTGGTGCCAGCGGCACTGGCCATCTTGTGCTACTATGAAATTTAATCTGCTTTAAGCCAGCTTGTTGCCCGAGGAGCTCCTGGCATTCCTCATCTGGCCTGTAATTAATGGAGTGACTTGCAGCAGCGCTCTCGTTCCCCGCTTCTACCACACGACGCATTTTCCTTCCTGCTTAGTTCTGAGCAAAGATGACTTGCAGCCTTTTGACTTGAATTCATTTCTCTTGAAGGGGAGAACACATACGGGAGATGGTGAAACAGATCAACGACATCAGAAGCCACGTGAACTTCTAACGCGTCCACAGCGAGGAACCTGCGCTGAAAGGCTGGAAGAGCTTTAGTTTTCCCTGGTTTCCTCCCCTTGTACGTTTAACGTTCGTATGCTGAACGATGCCTTTTACTTACTATTTTGTAAAGATGGACTGTGAAATAAAATAATTCAGTTACAACTCCTTTAACATGCTGTGGGTTTTTTCTGCGGGGAAGGAGACTGTGCAGCAGGTACTTTAAACCTCATGTCATGGTGTAGTACTTCAGCTACCTCAGTAGGGTGGGAATTGCTGCTTCCTTCAGAAAGCTGCCTGGAGCCTCCTCCTCCCGGTGGTCAGTGGCAGGGTTACCGCCGGGCAGGCCTGCGGCAGAGTACAGAGACCAGAGAAGCACCAACACTTCAGCAGCTTTTTTCTTTTTTTAATTTGGAACACTTTCTCCATAAAGGACACAACCTTCGATACAGTTAACAAAGGGTTACACTGGAATCCTGGAGACAGCAGAATTCTACACCCACAATTGCACAGGACACCAACGGCTTGCTTCACCGGAATGCAGTATCAACTTCCAAACACTCCCTTTGCCTTTACCCACAGGCGGCTCTGGAGTCCGCCTCGACAGTAAAAGGCCAATTCTTCATCTGCTGTAGCCAAACGTCAGTGGACAATAAATGTCCCTCCACCCCCCCGCCCCGTACAAAGGCGACGTGGCCAAGCTCAGTTTTGAGAAGTCGTACCGCACTGCTACAAACGGGGCACAGCAAGAGGTGCCCAGGTGAAGCGGAGAGGAGAGGCGAGGAGGGGACCTGTAGGTGACAAGGTTACCGGACATGCTGCAGGAACACTGCTCTTCTGTACAGGTTAAGACTATACAAGCACAGGAATGCGTACACAACTCCCCCTCGTCCCTTTTGCAGGCTATGTGAACAGAATCCAGCTTCCTAACCCCCTCTCCCCGCGTACCGTAGCGGACTGGCCAGGGTGGAAGTAGTGCCTGTTTACTAGGCGAGGAGAACCTGCCACCCTATCCCACCCAAGCTCCAGAACACCAAGAACCGGAAGGAGGAACACGTGTTTCATGAGCGCTACCACCATCATCCATCCCAAGAGTATCTACACCACCAGCTCTTGACTACAGTTGATTTACAATCTTCTAAATAAGCTCTGCAAATTTGGCACACGCTTTGGTGTTCGTTAAAGGCCCCTTTACGTGCAGCAGAAGCTGGGGTTAGAAGCTTCTGAGGCTGGGCGTTCCTTCCCCGGAGGGACAGCCCCCGGGGCGAGCATCTCCCACCACCTCTGTGACCAGTCAGGTTCCCCACTGAAAAGGAGAAACCTGCACTGGTTGGGGAAACAGGTCACCGTGTTCCAACTCTAAAACGTCACAGCCAGAACTTGAACAGGAGTAAAGGCGTCTGGGGGCGTGATGGAGTGAGGTGGTAAGGGGGGAAGCAACTGAAGAGTAATGGCATAGCCTTCCTCTCCCAACGCACAAGGACGCTCCTGCCTGGGTTAGAGGTGAGGCAGGCAGCACCAGCCCATCCAGGCGAGTTCTCACCAGTCCCCCTCGTGCCCCACCACGCTGCCTCCAGCCTCATGCCCCGAGCCGAGCACGCCGTTGCCGCCCGCTGCGGTAACACACAAGCATGCATACCACCACACACGCACATGCAAAGCGCCGTTGGGCAACTGCTCCGTTGCCCACTGTGGCTGTGAAGGATCACAGACCGACTGCCCGCTCACCTGCCTTCCCCTGCAGACTGCAGAAAGACACCCCGCGGCCATCCGCCAACGCCACACCTACCAACAGCCCCGTCAGCCATCGGTACAAAGCGCACTGAGGAAGAGCCACGCCAGCCCTGCGTGTTTCAACGCTCTCGAATGGTCAGCGGCGGCCGCGGTTGTTTAGAGCAGACAGGAAGGATGGGCACCGACACACGGGACAGGAAGGGATGCTGAAGGGCCAGTAGCAGCTGCTTTCCTTGCTCTCTCGCACTAGGACAGTCCGGAAACTCAACCAAAAACTCTTTCTGCATAGGTCTTAGTTCACTCCTCAAGTGTTCAGCTTGCCAGAGACACGTGTATAGGATGTGCTGTCTTTTGCCAGACAACAGCTTCCCTAACCGCCGCTGCCCAGGCCAAGTACCAGTCACCAGCAAGGGGTAGTTTCTGGGAAGGGAACGTAGGAAAAAGCTTTGCATTCTGCAGCTCCTATTAAAGGGCTATTTTTTTCCTCCAATATTTATTCACCAACCATTGGAAAACTACGCAAAACATCTGGTATTGGATTTATGCATCAGGGGGCAGCTGCTGTCGCCTCACAGCTCAGCAAATAGCGAGAAAGGTTAAAAACCGCCAAATCTGGTAACAGCCAATTAATAAAGAACCTAAACCACATTTCAGTTTCACTTTTAAGTGAAATTGTCATCCTAAGAAGGTGACAACTCTGCCGTCTATTAGTCTAGCCATTACTAAGGTAGGAAAAATGGCTTTCAGGTGTCAGGATTATGAAAAGAATTAATTGCTAGGGTGATAAAATGCTTTTAATTCTTGCAATGAGTGACAAGGACTTGAGGCTTCTTTTTGGCTGTTTTTAAGGCATTCCTCTTCAAAATCACCGGTTCTAACTTTATGTTAGTAGCAGGATATACACTGCTAAAAAATAGCATTTAAGCACTTCAAGTACAGTCATGTGCATTACAGTTTGGAGCATTTTCTCTTACTTCTGGTTGTCTTCCTCGCCTTCAGATCTGTGGTCAGATACGTAAAGAAAAAGCAGTAAGCAATGGAGGAAAGTCTAAGTTACAGATTCTGGACAGCGATGACCTCCTTCAGCCTCCTTTCTTCTCACTGAGTTGTACCTAGGGGCCAGCTCAAGAACTCAGTCTGCACCACCGGTACTACCAACACCTGCAACCGCACGCGAAACCTCTGCTACCCCACTGCGCACGGAGCTCCGACAAGAGGAGAAAGAGGAGGAGCAATGGTCCTGTTACTGCCAAACATTTACAGAGCATGAAACCCAAACCGGACTGATCACAAGGATTTCTTGTCCCTGCTGTCGTGTTACGCAGTGTAAATTGAATGTTACAGAAGAACAGGACAGCGTAGGAGTCACCTCCGAGCAATACTTGGGCGTATGGTATCATGGTAAGAGATGCACTGTACCTTTCAAACTTGAACCAGAAGAATAATGCGGCTCCAGCGCATTTGTGCTCTGTGACTGAGTGCAATCGCTGGTTTGCAGACCGTTCAGCTGAGCCAAGCTGATGCTTCTTTCAGCACCTTACTGGGAGGCTTTCCAGTGGAAGCCAGCAACTCCAGCCCTGGAGTCATCCACTGGAGCCACGCTGACCTGCATAAACCCCAGGCCAGTCAGACACTGCACAGGGCTTATGCCAGCCTCTTTTTCCTTTTTTTTTTTTTTTCTACACAAAGAAGGAATTACAGGTACTGCTCAGCTTTAGAGATGAGAAAGAACCAGCTGTAGTTCCATATTCGAAATTACATTTGTGAAAAGAGATTACAAAACAGTGCATTTCTTGTGCTTTTCTTTAAGTATCAGAATTCAACAGAAAAATTTCAAGGAGCTAAATTCTCAGTACATTTTTTCTTCTTTTTGGATTAGCATTTATCTGTTCAAGAGACACACAGCTCACCCATGTCCACCACAGTTCAGCAGCATTCCCAGTCTTCAACACAAAGTCAATGGTAAAAAAAAAAAACCAACAAAGTACTGAGTTATGAAATAAGATCAATATCCAGTGTCCTGCTAATAAAGTCATATTTTAATATAAAATATTCATACAGCATACTCTACACCTCATTCTCTCTGCTAGCTGAATACTGTTACTGACTATTCAAACAGAAAAACTTCAACCACTTTGCTCTTCAATGTTTTGGAGGGACAACATGGTTTCCAGCAGCTACTTAGATCACAGTAGTGGGGGAAAGGAAAGAGGGAGAGACAGGGGGTAAATGTTCCAAAACGCTATATTAGGTTACGAAGTCGGCTGAAAGAGGGGAAGTTTTTCAGAATGTAAGAACTGATCCCACTCAGTGGAACACGAAACACCGCACTCATTAGTGTTTCCATTAGAAAGTTCTCCTTCCTACACCGCAAGTCACCCTCGTGCTCTCTTCCTGCCCAGTACGAAACCTTTTTCCCTCTAGAAACAAAACTCAGTCATTGCTCCCCTTCGTTGTCTTCTGCTCTTTCGGTTAGAGTTAAATAATAATTAATGTTGCTATAAAGATGAGTTAAAAACCCCAAATGCAGCCTTGGAGCCCGCTCATCAGGGTGTCATGTTTCAGGAAGCTGATTAATGTCCGTCAGTTTTGTGTCATTCAGGATTGCACGGATTCTCTCCAGGGAATCTGCCTGCCGGATCCGCTCCAGCTGCACCTACAGAAAACCAACAGATGCCATGAGCTGGTAAAACGTGCTGGGGCAAAACCACAGACCCATAACCAGAACTGAGCCAACAGGCAATACTGGCAACCCCGAGGACCCGTGCAGGCAGAAGAGACATCAGATTACCACTGGCTGAAAAATGCAAGGTGTGAAGCAGCACAGGCTTAATTTCAAATGAAAAATAGGGGAGAAAGAAGAAATAAGGCAGTTGTGTTTTTAAAATAAAAAGCCACTGTCAGCAGAGCTCAAGCATCATCACCCTGTTTTGCCTAATAACCAGTGACTGCCACCACACTGGCCAGGCAGACTGGAGGAGACTGCAAAGCAATGTAGACTTTCACAGAAAGGATGTAAAGGAAGCACAGCCCTGCCTAACACACACCTCCACACCTCCCAGGATCAAAGCCAAAACGCTCTTGGAGGAAATGTCCCGTTTCCAAGCTCAGTCCTGTTCTTACTTCTCTGTGTTAATGTGTGCAAAGAGGTAATTATATAGATTTTTATGTGTGTGTATGTATATATATATAGGGGGGTTTACACATTCAAACTTCCAAATTCTTTGTATTAGGGGCTGGGCTTTCAGGTGTAAATTCCCAACTAGAGGTTAATTG